AACGCAACTGTAAGGATTTAAGAAATTTCTCAGTTTCAGAGTTAGACCTATCTTGCTTGTAGTCAGTCCTTACCACTTTGTTGGACTTGCTTATGCATTTTGATAGATGAGAAAACAAGAGAGAGAGAGAGAGAGAGAGAGAGTGTGTGTGTGTGTTAAAAGAAATTATAGATTTAAGTATTAATATTTCTATCTTTTTGTCTATTGAGAGCATATTAATTTTTCCTTTGAAATCCTCTGAAGTAAAATATTTCAAAGTTTAATGCTGTTTGCCCGAGGAGAGAAAAGGAAGAGAAAGTAATATTTTTGGATAATGAAAAGCAAAAGATGTATAATACATCCTTTTTCTTCTAAATTTATCTTTGACTCCATGGCTTTAATTTTATTGAAGTAATTTTAAATTCTGTAGTAGTATTTAATTGGAAATGTAATTCCACTGAAGTAATTATTGGCTAGTGTATTTACAGAAATGAGATAAACATGGTCTGAGTGTGAAGGTTTTGCTTCATTGTTCCTACACGTGGTCATGGTCAATAGCGCTGTGGAACGCCACACAGTTTGCCTTTTGTCAACAAATAAGGGCAAACAGTTGAAACATCTGAGGAACTACATACTCAAGTGCTGGAGATGCAGGGAAAAGGGTATTTGTTTCATTTAGGTGAGAAGGGGAGAGAATGCAGGGCCATATTGATTTTTTTGGTGGTTTTGCTTTCAAAATTAAAATGGTAACCATTCTCAAACTCTAAGCACAATAATTTTGCAAATGCCTTTATTGGTTGAAAATTTTGTTTTTACCCCAGCACAATTATATTTGAAGAGGGTAAGCCACAGGTAATATCATGTAAGTATTAAATAAAGTAGCTGTTAAAAAAATTGATATTTCTACTAGGTCAGGACAAACTGGTAGCTGGTGATTCAAAATATTTAATACCTTATATTTTGTAAGCTCACTGCAGAGACTAGTGTTAGTATTTATGTGAAGTAAAACCAGATTTGCTGTTGTGTTGTTTAAATACCTTTGTGATTGTTTAAATACCTTTTACTTGAGTGTAAAGAAGCGTTTTTTATTTATGTGGGGGATTGTTTAAATACCTTTTACTTGAGTGTAAAGAAGCGTTTTTTATTTATGTATCATAGCCCTGCCAAGCAAACTGTTAATTGCAGTTTTAATTTCTCTTGTTTGTGATATTTAACAAGAACAAAACTCAGATTTAGGATTGATTCCCTTAATCTTTGTAATAGTATATTTTTGTTGAGAATATATAACTTAGGAAAATAGCTCATGCTCATGGTTGCGAATAGGGCAAACTCATTCCTTGGTACCTAAGCTTTCTAGAGTCAAAGGTGTTACTTTTTCTGTCCTACTATGGCAAATTAAGCAAGGCATAAGAGAAACTATATGGAAGGGGAGAGGATGGAGCAGAAAAGTTACAGAGACCAGGGGTCGCATGGGTGAATGTCTGATATGGTTCAAAAAAAAGGTTCTTTTTTTCTTTCCTTTTAGCAACTAGATGAATGTCTTTGGATTCATGGCAGAAGTGAGACTTCCTAGAATAAGATTTAACTGAGGGGATGCTTTTTTCCCTTTTTAAATATGTGAAAAAATTGTTCTAAGGTTAGATCTTATCTTCAATAGTAAGACACTGTATTTAACTGACGGACTGAAAACCACGGATGGTAGAGAAGCACTGCTCTTTTCTAACTGTTTACATTGAAGTGGAAACACAAGTTTGTTCTGAACTTTTTTGTCTTTATTAATTGTCGCCTAACCTGTGTGAGGTTTGATTGTAGCAGAATAAATTAGGGTTTATATTTGGTTAAAAACACCTAACACACTTAGGAAGGAGAGTGTTAATGATTCATTAAATTATATGTTTCTGGTTTAGTTAGAAAATAAGGACAACAGCATGATTTTTTAGGTTCCATGGGTTGTAAAATGTTTTGAGTATGGTCTCAGCACTAGGGTTTGTGATTGAATGATTAACAGGCACTGAAATAATAGTTTTATTTTGAAGCCTGGAGAACCCTTCAGCCATGTACTGTATAGACTTTTGGAAAATGACTATACTATAGAGAAAAATAATCTTGTGATACACATTGGCTTTGATGCTGATATATTGGCTCTCAAAATAACTTTTACTAACGGGACTTGGGAGTTTCAATTTGAGGCATGTTTACCCTGGGCAAGTAGAAGCAATTAAGCAATTATAAGTAATAGTAACAGAAAATCAAATATCACAATGTTAATTCTGACTCTGGATTCTGTCCCTTGTACTGAATAGTTCTTTGATATCAGTAGGTCATGAAAACTTTTTAAACCAAAATATCTGCATAGTTTGTAACTCACTGTGGATAAGGAGTGATATGCCACTAATACTTAATGGAAGAAGGAGTGTGACAGAAGGTAGTAAAGAAGAACTGTGAGCCTGTGAGAGGAGTAATAGATCGGTTTGGCCAGCTGCAGCTGTGATGTGCCTGACCTCGGTGTGGCCACATGTCACACTTGAGTGGTCGAAGAGGGTACTGTCTCCAGCTGTTGGCGCTGGTCCCACAGCAGGAGTCACTGCACTGGGATATGCAGCTGACCTGAACCCCAAGTTGTAAAAGTTTACTACCTAGCATGTTGAACTAATAATGCCAATTTGAATTTTCTGTCATACTTGAGCACTGCATATGGTGATGTTCTGGGAGCTGCTGTGAGTTCTCTTCACTTCATGTTGCTGTAGAACTGAAAACACTGGGGAAAAAAAGTTTGTACCTGCTTGAACCTTCACATTGCACCTACTGTCACAGCTTTCCCAAGGTTCAGCTGTTAATGTGGAGCTTGCAGAGGTGAATACAGTTTATTGCCAATCTCTTTACTCTAAGCAGAGTCTTGGAGTCACCTCGTGATGTAAGGTTCTGTAATACTTTTTCACTAATCAAATATGGAGGTATAATATAAAAATATGCAGTTATTTTGATCCTTCTTTTATTCTAAGCAGCCTTTTGTAGTATCTATGTAGTTGGAGTGCAGCTCGTAGTGAGCTGAGTTGTAGCTATGTGTACTCTGTTAAAGCGAGGAATGCAGAGAATGAAAAGCATGCAACTAGCAACTGCAATATGAAAAGTGTGTTAAATGAGTTAGTTAGCATCACATAAGAATATGGTAAAAACACAGATACAATTCTTTCCGTCAGAGTAGCATTGGGCTACCTAAGTCACAGGCCAAGCTTTTTCATTGTGCTATGTTCTGAGTTATTCATAACACACCTCTTTATCTATGAAGCAAAGGACAGCCAAAGAACGTATAAAGGTGCTATCTCCTTCAACATAGAACCTCAAGAGTTGCCTGCTCTGTATGTGGAAATTGGTGGGGTTGTTGTAAGGAGCCATATGTGACCTTTTAACTCTAGTAAATATGAAGAAAAGCATTGAGTTATGGCAGCATAGGAACTATCCAGTGTAGTGAACATCAACTTTTCTCAATTCTTCTTGCTGTATTACAGCTTAGGCAGTCTAGTAATTATTTTCTCTTGCTTAATATAGGTGCATTTCCTGTTGCAATTTTATGCAGTTTCCTCTAGGATTGGTGCCTGTTTTGTTCTTCTTTTAATGAAATAAAGGGTTGATTTTATGTTGACTGTGTTGGATATTTTAACTGGCAGACCTCTTCTCTTTCCTGCACCCCATACTTACACATGCTCCTGACATTTGTCAAAGGAAGGTGGGAGTGCAGACAGGAGAAACCCACACTGTGCTCTACTAAGTCGCATGATGAGCAAGTTCATGATTTGGAGCAATACTGTAGAGGGTACCTACCCCAGACTGGCCGTTGGCTTCTTGGTCATGAGTCCTCATCCTCTGCAAATTAATCTTTACAGCATCCTTGCTTCCAGCTAGAGCCAAGATAAGTTTACAAAATATTAGCAATTAAAACTGCCACGTTGAATGTCTTGAGATGGTGATATCACTGAGCCAGTGATGTGGCTTTGTAAGATTTGTTCAGCTAATGCTTTTCTCTGGTTCTGCATTCATAATTTTTGAAAAAATAAAAAGTGGTTTAACTTTCTCTGAACAAGTGGTAACACATAATAGGCACTGGCTTCTTTCTTCTAATGCCTGCTACCTCACAAATATGCTTTATGCAAAAGGTCAGAGTTATTCTTTCATATCTTTATAAAGAGGAAGGAGTGATTGGGAGATAGAAAAGTAATGCTAGATACTTTTTTTTTTCCTTGAATTGTGGGTGTTTTTTTAAGAGCTCACGTGCAGATGACCGCCTCTTGACCTATATGAACTCTCAAGAATGTTTACTAGTTAAATAATACAACCCAAATTTCTTTGAACTATCACATCAGTAATTAATTGTATATCTTATGACACTGGCAAGATAAGAACTCAGTGCCAAGCTGTGATGAAGTTTTATATTTTTAGTTAATTTAATCTCTCCATTTAAATGCGTAATACTGCATTTCTCTTGGCCAGAATTTGGATAGTTGGCATGGTTGCTATTGAACTGTGATTCTTCCTTCGAAGAGTTGTGGGTGGTGAGGAGGAGAGGGAGTAAGTGCTACTAAGTTTTAAAAGCTCCACTATTTTGAAAATCCTGATCTTAAAGCTTGTATTTGACTTTGACTTAATATGCAAAACACAGCAATCTAAATGTGGTACTTTTTTAAAACAAGATTACTTTTCTAACTCGGTGCTTTGAGGCAACCCTCAATAGTGTTTGAATTGCCATTTGAGGTACGAAGCAATAATGTATTTCATGTTTCATTGCTTGCAGAGGAGGAAGAAGCTGTGCCTCAGGAATTTGACTTCATCCCCCAAAACATCTGATGCTTATCTTGCGTGTGAATTTTTGTAAAAATTTTATGGATATATACATGAAATATATTTAATATAGCTATCAAATTTTGTGTTAAAAATGTGTATCATATGTACAATTTTTTTTTATTTATTTATTTACAAGCACATGCATAAAAGTACAAACAGTGTTTTCATTTATTACTTTTCAGGGGATATAATTTTCAATGCTCACTATCCTGACCTACCACCAGATTTTATCTTTGGAGAGGATGCTGAATTTTTGCCAGATCCTTCTGCCTTGCATGTAAGTACTTCACTGTTTGAGAACCTTATACCATGCAAAGAAACTTGGAGCAGGCCCAGAGGAGGGCCACAAAAATGATCACGGGGGGTGGAACGCCTGTCCTGTGAAGAAAGGCTGAGAGAGTTGGGGTTATTCAGCCTGGAGAAGAGGAGGCTTCAGGGAGACCTTATTGCAGCCTTTCAGTACCTAAAGGGGGCTTATAAGAAAGATGGGGACAAACTTTTTAGCAGGGCCTGTTGCGACAGGACAAGGGGGAATGGTTTTAAACTAGAAGAGGGTAGTTTTAGCCTAGATACAAGGAAGAAATTTTTTACAACACTGGCACAGGTTGCCCAGAGAGGTGGTAGGTGCCCCATCCCTGGAAACATTCAAGGTCAGGTTGAACAGGGCTCTGAGCAACCTGATCTAGTTGAAGATGTCCCTGCCCATGGCAGGGGGGTTGGACTAGATGACCTTTAAAGGTCCCTTTCAGTGCAAACTACTCTATGATTCTGTATTTTTCTTTTTTTCCCCACTAAGTGTCCAGTGCCTGTGGTTATGGTACAGAGTTTAGTGGCTGTGTCAGAAAAGTATGCCTTTGCCAGGGAGCTCTGTTGCAATTCTTGCTCAGTCACCCACACAGTAGTCATGATCTCATTTCTTTTTTTCTCAAAATTTTCATCTTTTGTTAGAAATTTGACCCAAAGAGCAATTGACACTTCAAATATATTTTATTTTATAGGCTACGTGTAAGGGTATATGGGAATCACTGGCACAAACAGGCACCAGGGAAATGTCTTGTAATTGAACTTCTCCTGGTGTAAAGCCTTGCTAGGAGAGAGGCACTTTGTATAGTCCTCTCCTCCAGCCTCTCTTGTGCTTTATGAGCTCATCTCCACTGCAGCTGGGTGATTTCATCAGGTGTGGGAGCTCCCCAAAGTAAATCAGAGGCTGTTGTGCTGTACTATTCAGTTCTGGGGTACAGGTGTCATGGGGGAAGAATGTGAGGCGCAGTGGCCACAGAATTGGACATGTCCTTCACGTGTGACGTGACAGATGTGTTGTATTTTGTTTTTAGCTTTATTCACTTCATATTGTTATGTTGAGAAACTGCACAATCTTAAAAGAATTGGTTTTAATGATTATTTTTAGCATACCTAACAGAATTTTTAAAATATGAATGTCTTATTTCTTTGCTTCCGCCTTTCCTGTTAAGCTCAAACTCCTTTGGGAAGGAGGCATGGTGCTGCTGAATGGCTATTTTGTTAGGACATTTACAGAAAGATTTTACTTTATATGACAATTCTAGAATTGTTTTCATACTCTTATTTACCAGTTCTCCTATTTTCCCCTTTTTCTGTTTTGTTGTTTCACAATCTTACAACCTCCTGAGAAGCATTCATGCTAGCAACCACTTTCTGCAGTTGATGTTAAAGGAAGAGGAGCACTTTTTAATGTGCTGGAAAGCTCAAATTAATAACAAATAGCAAATGAGATATTAAATAAAGATAATTTGGGGCATGCTGTTCAGATGGAGTGTGATATGGTGCCATATTTCTCATGTGAAAAAAAGTCACTAGCACTAAAGATCCACAGGGAAACCTGCAAGGATAAAAACATCCTTAGTTTTCTTTCTTTCTTACATTGTTCATTAATGATACTTCTTTCGGGAGCATTGCTTTTCTTCTGCCTGATAAGCACAGAACAAACTTCCCGTCCTCTTCGTTGGAAAGCGGCTTGAAGAGCCATTTGGTCCTTGATGCATAATGAGATATTAACCAGCCTATTTTAAAGTTAATTAAAAACAAAACAAAAAAGAAATTTGCAAGCCAACAGCTTTCTTCTGGTCATTATGCCTTGCTATAGTATTCACTATGTAAATGTAACCTTTTTTGATAAGGTTCTTGGTCGTTCTCCTGCAGTCCATCCTGATGTTATCAGAGCATGTTATCTCCACCTTGCAGCTATGGTCTATATGGTGTATTTTTGCTTTTGCATTCGCCTTTTAATGTTCAACATGGTTTGCAGAGTTTTTCTTCAGAATGTTACATTAACAATAACTTGCTTATTATGCTAAGTGTTTGAATAACTCCCTTTTTTCCACAGATCTCAGAGCTGTTTAATGAAGATAATTTTAATTGAATTCTAAGATACTAGCAGAATTTTTTAATGTGTTAACATATCTTTCTACTGACTATAAGTAAAAACAGATTAGCACGTTGAGCGTAATTTAATGCTCTTAATCTTGCACAATCTTCAAATACTTTTGATGCAACAGTTCCTGGCAATCAAAACAGACTCCATCTTTCACAAAAGCATGTGGATGGTATTAAATGAGGAGCACAGTCTCTAAGTAAGTAGTGTGTGCTGCTGGATCTATGGGAATTCTAACATTGAGCCTTCCTGCCCTGCTCTCATCTGCCCGAGTGTCTCATTTTCCAAGCAGAAGTCATCACATGCTGTTACATGGCTTGAGTCAGGCGTTATGCTTAGCTTGAAATGAGAACAAGGTACTCCAGATTCCTCAAGCTCGTGTGGCTGTAATAGAGGCTGTCAGTAGACCTCCCTGAAGACATTTGAATGGCTGCATTGCCGATCGCTTCAGTCACTCCTTCAGTTTCTGTGGCCATGGGCAGACCTTCGAGTTAGGTTTTCATCTAAGTGCAGTAACAGGTGTTCAGTTAAGCAGCTGTTAGCCAGACAGCTATAACAAGATTCCAGAAATACTGCATTTTAAAAAGTAGATGCTGTAGGTGAAGACTTCATACTATCTTTTTTTTTTTTCAAAGAGTTCCTACACAGTTGGGCCTGTGTTTTTCAGCAGTGGGGTGATATGTTGAGCACTCTTGCTGTTATAAGCAGAGCTAATCAACTGCTTTGTTAAATTGGTATTGCAATTGCAGAATCATGTCGAAAATGCTCATTGAAACTTGGCTTTGCTTTTATGTCTTGCACAAATATTAACACCATTTTGGTTTGAAACTCAGGTTGAGTCTCAAGTTCAGCACTGCAAAATACATGCTTCATTACATGCCTTACCAGAAGTAGTTACTCTGCTGGTTGCAGGGTCTGATTGTGTGTATTCTGATCTTCTAGAATGATGTAGAGATTGAGGAGCAACGCAACAGAGGGGCAACTGTTTCTTTTATTTTTGCTTGTCATACAGTTTTAATTACAGTCAGAGGGCTGTATTCTTTAGGTTGGTGAGGCTATTCATTAGAAATAAACGTATTATTAGAAATAAACATATTTATTTTTTATTTTCATTGAAAATGTCCTCACCTATCGTATGCATTTGGTACCTGTGTGTATAGTATGCATAAATAAAATCAGCCTCTCAGAATGTAAATAGAAAAGTTCTTCCCTGCTCTAGTGTTTATTTATTTCGGATGACAAGTATTAGAAATGTATTTTAAAAACAACCTATGATTCACTCTGTTCTGATTAAAAATTCAGTTGGCACAAAACAAGATTAGTGATTGTGTACGGATGAGATTAATTTGGAGCTCATTACAATGACGCCAGTTTAAGTAACAAGAATTGTTTGTTATGTTAGCCTAGTTGATTGTTAATGTGAGCCAATTAATAACTGAAGTGCTTATGCAAAATGTTAACCCCATTCTTCCAATGATTTTGAAGTATATTCTGTTTGGCAAAGAGGAGACAATAGCAGTATATGCAAGCTAACTGTCAGTGTAAGGATTTGGGTTTTTTAGCATCCTACTTCAAATCTCCAGCTAGTCCCCCAGAATTATTCTGCCCACCCACTGCTATCAAAAAGGCTCCATTAGCCTTACTGGGGATGGAAGCAAGAGGACATTAGCATTTCCTGAAATCCAGTAAGTGCTGAATGTGTCCTTGTGGGCTAGTATATATGGGAATACTTAGTGCTGCATTCGCATGGAAGGAGGGCATTGCCATCACAGAGCTTCAGAGAATGGGCCACTGTGGTTCTCATGCCAGTACGTAGTGTTGGGAAGATTTTTTCCCCTTGTCTAATTGTTAATACTGAGTACAGATTTCAGTCATTGTGGAGCTGATTCCAGCTAATTGTACACTCAAGTGTATTGGCTGTCATGCTCTATATCTTGTGTAGAGCAATGTTTATTTTAAGTTCTTGTATTTGTAGTTATTAGACTCCGTATTTGGCTATATGATGACTGTCATGAAGGCTGTATTGTTTTCTGTGTCTGTGTTGAAAATCTTAATCATTATTACTGTTGACTTGCTGAGTTAGCTTTCAATGGGTAGTGAAGAGATCCTTTAAATATCTCCTTGTTCTGTAATTGTTCTTCATTTACTATCAGGTGCATGAGACAGATGTTTAACAGCATCAGTTGTTCCTATGCTCACAGTAGCTACAAAAAAGCCCAAACCCCCTTAGTAGCTAATGCCGTTTGAACTATTTTGTTCTAAAAAGTCTGGCTGTTGGCAAAGATGTAGGTGTTATGTGTTCTAGTATGGAAGCCCCTACATAAGGGCAATGAGCACGATGGTTTTCAACGTATGACTTTAAAGTCGTGGCCGTGGGTTCTCTTTGTCTGGGAAATGTATAGGTAAGTTCGAACTATTTCAGCATTACTATCTATTCTGCTTGCTCTATTTGGGATGGCAGCAGAAGATTTCATTCTTGGACCCCTAACCTACCACTCTTGCACTGAAAGCCTTGAATTACTTTGGTTTCAGTTGAACTTGGGAAATTTAAGTGAAACAGAATGCAGGATTGGATCCTGCATTTTATTAGACTTTCTTTTTTCCTTATTTTGAACTTATTTATATTCACATTTTTTGTGTTCACTTTTCAGTCATTTTGACTTTACGTGTCAAGATGTGTTTTCATTATTTATAATCCAGTGCTATTTACTGTTTAATTTTTTAAAATGTGAATTCTGAAAACTGTTTATTCCTGTTCTTCTGTATTGATCCTACCCATTTGTATATATGGGGGATGTATGCATATATATATATGATAACCTATATATAAGGTTAGGTTCTTTATATGCATATGGTCACTGAGACTT